CATGATCTATGAGATGGGTAACAATGTCCTGTTTTATGGTTTGAAATGAGAAAAAGTATTGTGTAGTAGTGTGTTAAGCTGTTAGTTAGTGGAGAAAGGGTAGAAAAGTGCGAGTTTGTCAAATGTCCACGCAGGTCAGAAAGTAGTGCATGATTAGTTGTTGAGGAAAGTCATATCATGTGATGTAATACGGTAGGTTTTACAGAGTGTAATGTAATGTGTGAAAAGTGGGCTGAAATAGAGAATCGATTAAAGGGTTGTAGAAAAATAATCTCCTGAATTGTCCAGGCGGAAGCAGATTAGTTTGTGTTAGAAGAGGTAGTCCCAGAGAAGGTGTTTGTGATGTCATAAATGTACAGCAGAAGATGGTGTTTGGAGAGGTGTTTAGAGGTTGAGGTTTGCAGTAGAAAGAAGGGGAATGAAGGGCAGTCGTAGCAAGACAGTGTACATGTGTGTAAACGAAAGGGAGAACAGTGAAATAGTGAGGCTACAAGGAGCAGCGGTGGTGAAGGTGCAGGAGTTTAGGTACTTAGGATCAATTGTTCAGAGCAGCGGAGACTGTGGAAGAGAGGCGAAGAATAGAGTGCAGGCAGGATGGAACAGCTGGAGAAAAGTGTCAGGAGTGATCTGTGACAGAAGAGTGTCAGCTTTGACCCAGTGGAATGATTTGTGTTGTAAACGTTAGTCCAAAGAAATCATCATGTGTTGTAGTGTCATAGATGTACCAGTGGAGGCAGCATGTAATATGACCTTTGGGGTGAGGAGGAAAAGTGTGTGAGGGACAAAAAAGGAGGAATTGTGAGATAGTGTTAAGTTGCAAGTGTGTGGACAAAGTTGACCCAGAGTAGGGAAGTGTTTGGGAGTAGAGGAAAAAAGTATGTGATGTGATGAATGTACCACCTGAGGCAACGTGTAGTATGTGTGTAGTTGGTGGGAGGGGGGCAAAAAGAGTGAAAGGGTGTTGTTGTATTGATAGTTGGATCAATGTGCAGTGGTTTGGTAAGTGCAGAGCTGAAGGAAGATGAAGAAGAAGGGGAGAAGGAATCAGTTGTGAAGGTAAATGTTCAGACACATATGCAGACAGTGTGGTGTCGTGTTTGGGGAGCAGTGGAAGATGTGAAGCACCTGGTGATGACAGCAACAGGTTAGTGATCAGAGGGAGAGGGGGAGAATGCAAACTAGGCATGGGTGAGGGACGGCTGGTGAGGCGTGGTAATGTGTAGTAGTAATTCAGATGATGATGTGAATGTATGTCGTAGTTGTTGGTGATGATGATGAAGTTGTGGTGGTTAGTGTTGTAGTTGTAGTGATGGTTGTAGTAGGTCAGTGTTTTAAGTGCAATGTTGAAATGTCAACTGTAGATGGCATTAAGTAGAGTGAAAGCATTCTGGTGTTTATGCAGGAGTTGTGTATGTGGTTGGTTTGAGTTTACATGAATGTGGCATGTGTGTTCCTGAGTGGTCGCTGTCATGTTAGCCCACATGTGATTTGGTGATGTTGAGTATAAGTGGACAGGAAGTGATGGAAAGGGGCAGTAATGAGGAAGAGGTGTGTGTTGTGTGTTGGTTTGTCATTAGTGAAGGGAGGAGTTGGTGGCCAATAGGTGTGTGCATGTGTACATACATATATGTGTATATGTGAATGTATGAATATATTTGGAAATGTAGGTATGTATGTGTGTATGTGCATATATGTATATGTGTATATATATGTAGTTGTATGTGTATGTATATATGTGTATGTATACACACAAATATATATATTACAGCATATATATATGCTGTGCATGCACATACAAATATATATATTTATATATATATGTATATATATATATATATGTATGTATATATTTATATGTGTATGTCCAACCCCTCCCTGACCACAGGCAGTGTGGGTTTGTGTGTGTAGTGTGATGTTGTGTGAAAGTAAAGTGAGTTAAAGTGAAAGACAGTAAAGGGAGGAGTTGTAAGATGTGGAGTGTGGTGTTGAAGTAGTGATTATGAACATGGTGTTGTGTAGGTTATGCTAATTGGCACATGCATCGTAGGGGAATACAGTGTAGGGAGGGTGGATGACAGGGGTAAAAATGTAAGCTAGGTATGTGGTGTGAGAACTGTGTGGGATGTGCAGTGCGATGATGCCCAATGATGTGGCGGTGCGTGTTTGAATGGCAGTAGTGGAAGTAAACAAGTGTTGTAGACATGTGCGAATGTGTAGTGGGCAGACGTTAGAAGAGATGATGACACATGCATCCTGTGAGTGACATGAAGCAGAGTGTAGCAGTGTGTGGTGCAGGAGTGGTGTTTCCCTGTGTGTAGTCAATGTTAGTGTTTGATCTGAAGTTGTTGTCACATCCTTTTTCATCCCTGTTAGGTTGTGGCTGGTTTGAAATGTAAAGCAAGTAAGTTTGTGTGGACAGTGGAGGTGTGAGAGAAATGATGTATGTGTGGAGGGTTGTACACAGGTAAGCTGTGGAAAGTGTAATTGATGAGGATGAGTAACAAGGTCATCAGGTCACGCAGGTAGTCTATCAGCTGGTTGTTGTCAAGCCGTGTCTCTGTGTGTGGTGGCTGTGATGGTGTTGCTGTTTCGATGTGACAGGGTAAGAAGAACTAGGTGTAGGCATTGAAGGTGAGTTGGTGGTGGTGGTGGTAGTGTGCTGTTGTGTAGGTGGTGTGTGGATGAGTTTGGGTAGGGTTTGGTGGGTCTGTGTGGCTGGCCAGTTGTTGGTAGTTGTGTATGTGGATGTGCATGTGTGTGTGTGTGAGTTTACAGCAGTAAGTGTGTGAGTGGTTGTGAGAGGAAAGGGAAAGGGATGTTGTTGCAGGTGACCTTATGTTGATGTGTTGGTGTTGTGTTTGGTGGAGGAATGTTAGCAGAGTGTTGGGGGCCACTGTTGGTTGTGTAGGTGGATGTTAGAGGAAGTGGTGTAGGAGCGTTAAGGTTTGTTGCTGGTGTTGTATGATGTAGTTACTGGGCGTGTTTAATGGAGCAATGTTGGCGAAGGGTGACTTTAGGTTGTTCTGTGTGTTGGCAAGTCTGTGCTGGAGTTTGAGGGCGAACATGTAGAAGAAGAAACAGAAGAAGTAGTGGTAGTGGTATTAGTAGTGGTAGTAGTAGTAGTAGTAGTAGTGGTGGTTGTAGAGGAAGGGGTGAAGAGGGTAAATGGGTAAAAGGTAAATGTATAGTGAGAGCTTGATGGGGGGGCAGTTTGGTGAGTAGCAGTGTAAGAAATGTATGTGAGTGTAGGAGGAGTTGTGTGAGTTGATAAAAGGGATGGAAGTGGGTGGCAGGTGGGCGGTGGTTGTGTGTTGACTGGTGAGATGTGCAGGGTCAGTGAGTGGAGGAGCAGTGGTGAGATGTGGGGATTTGTAGCCATGTGTGTTGTAGAGGGGTGGGGGGGGGGGGGCATGACATCAGTGTAGAGTTGTTGGGTAAAAGGTAAATGTATAGTGAGAGCTTGATGGGGGGGCAGTTTGGTGAGTAGCAGTGTAAGAAATGTATGTGAGTGTAGGAGGAGTTGTGTGAGTTGATAAAAGGGATGGAAGTGGGTGGCAGGTGGGCGGTGGTTGTGTGTTGACTGGTGAGATGTGCAGGGTCAGTGAGTGGAGGAGCAGTGGTGAGATGTGGGGATTTGTAGCCATGTGTGTTGTAGAGGGGTGGGGGGGGGGGGCATGACATCAGTGTAGAGTTGTTGGTAGTACACAGTCATAGTGAGTAGTGGGAGTACAGGGGAAGGTGTGGATTAGGACGATGACTGGATGATTATGGCGTCATAATTAGCAAGTGAGTAGTTGGTGATGGTGGAGTTGTTTGTTAACAAAAGTGTTTAAGTTGTTAAAGTAATTATTAAAATAACAGTATGTAATTGATGGTGTAATAAGTTGTATGTTGTTTATGTATGGCAATAGAGTACAATGTATGTTTTGTATATGTTGTTAATGGTAAATGTGAGAAGTAGAAAATGTTGTTTGAATTATGTAAGTAAAGAGATGGAAAGTAATAGTAGTTTGTTGATTTGTGTGTTAGTTGTGAGTAGTTGATGATGTGGTTGGTGTGTGTTGAGTGAGTGAGTGGATGAGTGTGGGTAAGTATGTGTGTGTGGAAGGTGGAAGTGTAGTGGTTATGTGATTGGGAGTGAAAGGGTGTTGGTGTGTGTGCTATTGGGACTGTAGTAATGCAAAGGTGGTAACAGGTGACATGGGGGTGTGAAGAGGCAGGAAGTAGGGAGGCAAGGAGGGCCTGGTATGATGGTGGAGGCACAAGGTATTGATGGGCACAGTGGCAGTTTGGTGTGCAGGAGCCTTCCCCCAGTGTCTGCAGGAGAGGGCACATGGCAAGGACAAAAGGAAGGTAGTTGTGAAGGAGGTGCAGGCAGGAAGGTAATTGGGCAGTAGGAGTTTTCAGGGTATCCATGAGAAGTGTGTTAGATGTTTGTGGTGGAAGCAAATGTTAGGGTGGATTGGGTGATTGGTTGATTGGTGCCATGGGCTGGAAGTGGCATGTGTGTTGGGCAAGTGATCATTGGTAGTGCTTAATGGAAATGTGAGTGTGAAGTGGTAGTTGGAGGGGGTTACCTGGAGTGTGTACTGATTGGTTGGTGGGGTTGTGTAAATCGAAGGGATAGGTAGTTACCAAAGTGTGGTGAGGAAT